ACTAAATCATTGGCACTATGACAGCTGGTGTCTGATGACTTCAGAAATCTAGGAGAAAAACTAGAGTAATTTGTACAGTCATCACAGCACTCTGGGCTAGAAGTACAGAACTCAGTTTTCAGAATGCCTTTGCTTATGATTGCATGTAGACTGGCACCAACTACTTTGTGCTGGGAACAAATGATGAGCCAAATCCTACCAACACAGCAAAACAGATGATTTTAAGGACAGGAGTCCAATGAAGCACATGAACGAGATTCCCTCCATTTCCTCCCTCCAGTTGCTGCTGATGCATCTTTCTCAAAGTTTTCTTCCTGTAAAGTCTCCACCCTGCCCTCCTTCCTGACTGCTACCACAATAGATTTGCCCTTTATCACCAAAATATCTCTAGCTATTTGCACAGTAAAAAAATAGCCATTTCCTCAGTGCCTCTTGCAATTTTACACTGAAAAGGGAGGGAAAAATGTTCTGCTTTCTTAGTGTGCAATGTGGTATCACTCCAAGGAAACCACTTGCTGATACAGTACCATCTGTCAATTGCTTTCTGCTAACTGAGGTTCATACTAGCAAAGTTTTCCACTTCATTTTCTCTTTTTGAAAGTTTTTCTTGGAAGGATTATTTTTCACTTACTGCTTTCTAAAAAATGGATGTCCTTTTAAAGATGAAATTTATTTCTAAAATATGTAAAACCTTATTATGTATAACGTAATATTTTCTGTTCAGAGCTCTCAAGACACTCGACTTCTGCGTAACAACAGAAATCACCCCTATTCATTTTATTACCTAGCTTAACTTCTTCTTCACATTTACATTTCAAAAGTTCCTACCAGCTTTGTCTTCTTTTCTCACCACTTCTGTACCTCCTTCCCTTTCTCCTCCCCAATGCAAGTTTCTTCCATGCACAACCTGCCCTCCAAGGATGCTTGTAATTCACAGCTACAGTTCTTCACTCCACTTCCCTCACTTGCCCCAACCAATGCCTTCTTTCCCTGTGCTTTGTTCCACAACATCACTCCCCTGTCCCCTTTCTTACTAATCACACTGACTGAAGTATATTCCATGCAGAATAACAATAGAAAAAGAGACTCTAATGCCTTTAGGGAATGAAATTCATCAGATTTGCTTTCAAATGCTTGCATTAAGGACCATGGAATTATACGTTTATTTACATTAACTAGAAAGCTGGGACTCCTGACTCTGACTAGGAAGAGTACCACTCAAGGAAAGAAGAATATTCCACTCTAGATGTCCAAAGTTATGGTAACAATTTATCTGTTCCTCACTCCTGACTGTACCTTTTAGATCCTAGCCTGATAACCTGTGTAAGATGCTCAACAGAATCCTCCTATAGATCTCACCATTTGTATTCCTCACCCCCCAACAAAGTACCTCAGAGATACAGTCACATTAGCTTTCATAACACTCACTCACAGCAAATTATACCCTAACAGAAATGTAGAGACAACTTTTTTTCAATCTGCTTCTTATCTTTCATTGGTTGAGAAGCCAGCCTTATCCACTCATTAAATTCTCATTTAATCAGCTGCTTCTCATTTGTTTACTTTTATTCCTTAGGTGGTCCTAAACAGACAGGAAATGTGATGCAATGATGTGAGTATCCATGAAATAATCTCCAAGACCCATCTTAAAATCTTAACTCTCTTTTATATGCTGGTGTGTTTAGAGAACTAGTGTGCTGAAAATGTGCCTAGGACATAAGCAATGCTGTTTCACTGCCTCCTTGTAATAGCAGAGGTACTATGTCTAACTAGGCAAAACATACTGCTGCACAGAGACACCTAAGTTGGCCTAGGCTGATTTAATTCAGAGAGTGGAAACGCAGCTGTGACCAGTTAATTAGAAGTGAGAAGTAGCTGAGAAGCAGAGCTAGAACACTGTAATGAATTTTACATCTGTTTGCTACCAGAGGTATTTCTGATATGGTACTGCATCACACAAACCCATACTCTAGGCTTTTCTTGTTTGTTTGTTTGGTTTTTTTGCTGATAGCAGTTTAGACACTCCAGCATCATTTCTCCTCATTGCTGGTAAATATGTTGTGATGTAAGAGGTAAGAGTCACTGGCTGAACCTAAGGACGGCTTGAAGCTGGATGTGCTGGCTTCCTGTCACACCTTTACTGCTCAAGGGTCACCACGATAATTCTGTTCCTCATGCTACACATATTAGCATTTAATTTTGTACTAGTAGATGTTGATCTTTGTTCATGAGAAAACAAGGCTGTGAAATGAGCTCTCTAGCAGCTTTTTAAAATCCTGTAATGTGTGATACTTAACAGAGAAATACCATCAGCTCATTCAGGCTTTCCAGACCATAAATGAAATCTACATTTTTGCAGTTTAATAAAGGTTTGCAATATGTACCTAACGGTAATGGCTCCATCCCAGGGTATCTCGCACGTAGTTAAAAACATATTTACAGACCAAATTGGCAATTTTCAGTTGAAAATCTGCAAAGCTGCAGTTTTCTTCATCTTCCTGCAGTGGCTCATAAAAGGTGCCAGCTTTTTCTTTTCCCTTTTTGAAACAGTTGTGCAGTGCGTACCCTAAAGGGAGATATTATCAGATTTTGGAAGGGATTTTGCACAGGCAGTAACAATCATCACCAAATTCTCACATCAGCCTCCATACAATACTGACTGCTTCTCTGAAGGAAGCAGGAATTAAACCTGCTCTTCCCCAGTCAGAGGAGATTCAGTCATAAGATGCTATGGCGCAAAATCCAGAAGCACTGCATATTATCTAAGCAATATTATCTTCAGTAGGGTCTTCTATTCCTTAGAACTTCTTATTAATGAAAATTTATTTCATAAAACATGTTTCAGTATTTCCTTTAAGTTACTGTATAAATGTACAAAAGATAATTTTCAGTGAGTAACTTTGGGCTAGTCACTGAACAACAACACAAATGTGACTCGTTAACTAAAAATGTGAATAATTTTTAGACTATATTTTAGAGTATTTCTCCTGATTCAAAGATGAAGATTTAAACCAGGGCTGCAATGAAAACTTGTTTCCAGCTAGCTACTGCGGGTAGCCACATGACTGTAAAATAAAACACTGAGAAGCTTCAACCATTACATCTGTCCTAAATGTGGGCTGGGTATCCAGTAAAATCAAGCAAGATAACATTTTGGCTGTTTGAATAAGCAGTTGGTGAAAATACACAGTTCAAGGACACAGTGTCAAAACAAAGTGGAAGAGATTTTGGGAGATGTTTGTCTTTTCTGTTCCCTGAGATGATTATTCAGCCCACACAACCAATGGAGTATTCTCTGAAAACAGAGAGCAACTCAGAGTAACATCCCAACATGTGCAAAGCATTTTGTTCATAATGCTCTAGAGGAAACTTTCAAGACAAACAGAGAGCCAGCTATGGGTGGTCTTTGGAATGTGAAGAGGAATGTTTCAGTGTAGCACAGGCTTGGAAAACATACCTACAAGGGCTAACATACGCGTTTAAATCTGTGCTCCAGGTTCAACATGTGTGTGAGTGACATCCAACCAGGCATGCTGGAGGGCAGTAAGCACAGCGCGCTGCATGAACATAAGCTTTCTTCTCACTTCAAACAGCCAGCAAACCTAGTTCGAGTCAATCTGCATTTCCCTTCAGACCAATTGGAAAATAGGCGTTACAGATAGTTTCAGCTAAAAAAACATACAAGCAAAGTTTTGTCATTTATCCACCAGTTCTTACAGAGTCTAGAAATTCTCTTTGCCGTGACACAAGTGAAGAGGAATGGACTGTGTCAAAAGTGACATTATGATGAAACTCATGCTGTCATGTATGCTTACTTCCCTCTACGTTTTTGTACTTCTTGTCACACTGAATAAATACGTGTCTTGACCTGGAGTACTAAAGGGTCATTAGCATGAAATTATGACAGATGCAATAGAGAGTAGATTTCTGCTACTCAAAAGAAAAATCTCTTTGACCTTTACATGAAAAAAATCCATTTTTTAAGACTTAAGGTTAAAGAGTACATGCCAAAGTTATTTTGTAGATCTGCTTTTCACTGTTGCAGAAGATGCTCTCCTAAAATGAATATTACTGACCTTGAACCCTATCAGCCTTCTCAATCTGCCTGTATTCTTAGAAACTTTAACTTCTTTATATGGAAACTGTCTATAATCTGGGATGTCACAGATTTATGTTTATAGTCCTGATACAGTTGTACATAAAATGCCAGCGTCAATGATGATGTTACAGGGAGGTCTCTGCTGCACGATTAGCAACACTCTGTAGGACTGAAGAAAACCTGAAACATTTGTGCTAATGCTGATCACAGATTCCAGAGTAAAAATAACTGCCTTGGTCTGGAACATTTAACAAACCACATTTTCCAACTAAAATAACCGCATCTGAATTTGTTAGGCTTAATACCCATCCTAGGAACTCTGTGTAAGTTAAACAGGAGGCCAGGCAACCTAAGGACAGAGGAGAATTTGTGGGATGATTCCAAAGTAAATTGCGTGATTTGAAAATGTGGCAAGCGCTTAAAAAAAAAAAAAAAAAAATCAGTTAAAAGTAGCTTTCCAGCATAATTTCAGTCAAGTTCAAAACTGACTGGCAGATAACTTTAACATGAGGCAACTACTGCTTTGCAGCTAGTAGCCGCAGACCCCTTCATGAAATCCCACTGGCTTGTGATTTATGTGCGCATGCTAGAAAGCCTCTGACCCGATTCCTAAAGCCAAAATAAAGTATGGCCTGTGCAGCAAACTGGAATCTCCCTGGAGCCACAGAGTAACGCCGTGCTTCAGTCAAAGACTCAGGATTCATGATTGCAACACCACACCGAGGAGCTGGTAATGGAGACATGCTTGCACATATGTCGCTGTCATATCACACATTTGTTTGTACACAGAGCTCATACTTCCAAGCTCAGGTTAATTTTAGCTGGACTCGGATGATCCTATCAGACCCCTCATCCCTCACTGTGTTAATTATTGCTCAGCACTCTCTGCCAGCTGACTTACCTTTTTCAATGTGTGTGAATCACTGATGGGGAAGAAGCAGCGTGTGTCGCTGGCTGCAACCTCCTTGTATCTTCCTTGCTGTGTTTTACTCTGTTTGTTCGGGGAGATCCCATTAACAACTGCTGAAAGGAAGCTGTTGGTCATGAGGGGAGTCAGGGTCTGGCAGAACAGGCAGACGGCCACCACCAGGGCCAGGAGGAAGGGGCGAGGGCGACAGAGCCTGCGGCACCTGGGGCCGTGCCCACAAACCATGGCCAGTGTGCTGTCCTCACTCCACCCTTGGCCACATTGCAGATGCAGTAGCCATGTCCTGACAGGTAAAAATGCCAAAGCGGGCTTTATCCACAGCTACGGAGCGCTTTCCCCATTCCCGCTGCTGAGAGCTTTCCTGGTGCCTGGCAAGAAGTCACCGCGTCCAGAAGAACAGGGTCCTGTGAACTGCCCTCCCATGGGGCTGTGGGAACAACCTGTGGGAAAGAACAAAAGTGAGAAGAAGCACGCCATGGCTCATGGGGTGCTCTGCTTGGAGCTGTGCCGACCTCCATGCACCAGGAGGACAGACCTGGTGGCAGGCAGGTGGGCAGAGGGGATCTGCAGCTCCAGCCTCGCGGCAGGAACTGCTCAGCCAGATAGCATCTAAGAATGCAAGAGGTTAAAGCTTAACATGCTCTGTCCACAGCCAAAAAGAGTAAGAGAGTGTACCAACCTCTTGAACAATCGTTTGCTGTTTTTTCTCTCTCGCATTCTCAATTCCCACTTTGTTTTTATAGTTCCTTTCGGTCCGGTCCCTTTAAATTGCCTCTTTCCTGTCAGTACGCACAGACCTCACTCTAAAAGCGATCAGTTATCTAAAAACTGACAGACTACAAAGATTTTCCCTTGCATTTTGTTTCATCCAGATTGTGAGTTCAAAGTTACGAGTTACGCTTACTTACTCAGCTCTTATCCCGTTAGAAGTTTTCCATTCCCCTCTAATGGGCTGCTGATTAAAACCACTTGGTTGGAGCCTGGCTCATGATCCCAGCTCGTCTCACACACTCCGAGGCAGGCACACGCACATACACACACCATCTGAAGCCAGTTGGACCACAGACTTCATATAAATAAAGGCTGGACTGCTTGGAGGGTGGGGCTAAGGGAGCTCAGCTCGGGGCAGGCTCGGGGCTGGAGACGCAGCCCTGCAGCGGGTGGGGAACCAGAGGTGTCCTGCTTGCTGTGTGCCTCCAAAATACCGGCACTGCAATTTTTAGAAAACTGCTGGTACAGCAGTCGGGCTAATTGAAACCAGAAAAATATCTCCAAGGCAGAAGAAATCTGAGCAGCACCTGCAGTATTTTACTCCAAATTAACCAAAATGTTGCAAAAGGAAGCAGGTTTGCTTGGATGTGTCACTGGCGAAGAAGTTGTCAGTACTTTTCCATAGTAGATACGCTAGCTCGTAGCAGAGTATAAATAAAACTTCTTACTAATGTTAAGGAGAGAAAGAAAGGAAGGCAGGCAAAAATAATCCAATGAGAGCACTTTGTATATCAGCTGCAGAAGGTCTTAGTTACTACTTCCCCCTGCTGACGTGGGACAGGGACGAGACAGATGGGAACAGTTGAAGAACTCTGTTATCTTTACAGACCTAAACTTCTCAAACAATCGAGTTCCTTTAGCTAAAAATATCTGTGTGCACGTCATCTCTGTTATCCTCCATCCTTAGTTATTTTTGAAGAGTTCTTCCTACACTGCCTCATGTATAAGAAATGGCAGATGCTAAATTGCGATATCCCTGGGCCAATCTACACAAAGTAAGAGCAGCAGCATTAGCAAGTCAGAGGTCTACATACAGCAATGAGAGCAGAGCATGGATTTGTTTGAAGTGCTGCTATTTATTCATCTTTCGTATCTTCTCTTCTTGCAAGCTAAAACTGTCAATTTGCATATATAAAAGTGCCACAGAAGTGATTCAGTACCTCACGCAGAACCTCAGCTGGCACAGGCATTGCATTTTAGCATTCTGTCTGGGGCTGTCTTGTATAAATCACAAGGTTTTTAAGTTATCCTGGGCAGGAAAGGGGTACAAAACCTGCTGGTACCCGCCAGTGATAGATGCTTTCCATCCACCCAGAAGATGCCATTTCAGCTCTGTAGGAATCCCCTGCTTGTGCTTCCTCTCCCAGCACACCAGCTCCCACCCTCTGGCCCTGCTGCTGCCAGCCTGTGCTGCAGAGCCTATGATGAGCCAGCAAACTGGGCCAATGGCTGCATCCATGCCATACAGTGGAGAGGCACCCGGGGAGCTGGTGCACTCAGAGGAGCTCTGCAGAGACACTGCAGGAATCACAGGACCCCATTTGTGGAGGAGAAGCACAGCAGAGTTGCTTTACTGTTGCTTTACTCTTGTAAGAGTTTGCCCTGTGGCACGCTCTGCTTTCTGGGACTAGAACCCTCAGCTGTGTAGGTGGCATTTGCACAACTGTGAGCTTCTCCCAGCTTTCTACTGAGGGGATTTGTCAGAGTTTTCTATGCTATTGCTAGAAGACTTGACAAAAATAGCTTGATAAAGATTAAAGGCTGCTTAATGGCATGGACCCCACAGTCCCTTGCAGCAGTCCTGCATGAGAACAAAGTAATTGTCTCTACTCCCTCTGCTCCCTCAGCAGCCTGGCAGATAACTGTGTGCTCCCTCCAGCCTGACCTAATTTCCCCCTGTTCAGTTAATAACTGGAGGCTTTAAGCCCACGTTTTCCCCAGCATCTCAGAGGCACTTCATCCATCCTGCAACTCCTAGATTACTGAAAGGCTCCAGGTTTTCAGGGCAAGCTGGCAGATTTTTCTCATTTATTGCACCAAGGCTGATACTGCAAACACATAGAGGATGGGAGGTCAGCAGAGGGCAAGCAGATCTCTTTGTGTACTCCTCGGGATCTGCATTCTGTTCCTCTGATTTTCCCAGATGTTCCAAGGAGGGAGCTGGCTTTTTCCCTATGTTTTGTGGTTTCTTTTCATCACAAGAACATGCAATGCAATTTTCCTGAGCTGTAAATACTTCCTTCATTCACAGCTAGCGTGCAGTGAACATGATTTGTTGTCTTCTAATTAGGATTTCATCACATCTCTCAGCCCATGTCTACTGACTTATTCGGCCACATTTCAACACTGAGAATTAAGCTAGGACTTTTGAAAATGGAGGCTGACAGGGACTAGCATTGACTAATAAAGAACTAGGCCTTCAGTGCATAGCGTTCAAACAGCCACAGAACACAATTATCTGTAGGATCAGAAATATATAATTCTTTGTACCCACAGATATATGTATATATTTCAGACTTCACAGAAAGCCACAGATCTTTTTCTGGCATCCCAAACAATTTAGGGATTGATTTGCTATTCAGTATTGCTGGACCTGTCTGGCTCACCTCTCCCTGCTCCTTCCGCTCACACTAGACTGCACACATGGATGCTCCCTGCAGAAAGAAGTCAGCTGCAGTCCAGCTCTGCATGAGGCAAAGTCCTGTAGGGATCATTTCTGTAAAAACCAACCAGACATGAGTATCACAAGTGATCTCCCATGCTTGCAGCCAGAATCCCAGCTCATCCCCATCACCTGGAACAGGCGGTGTTGAATGAAACACTGGCACAGAAAAGACAAGAGGAAAATAAGACTTGATAAAAATTGCAAGAGACTAGGATTTGAAAGGGTTTAGCCAATATACCACACAGGCACCATTCATCATCTTGCTGTGGTTTTAAGCAATCCAGCTCCTATTCTTGCAGCTTTCATTTGACATTAATCTCTGTTTGTGCAGTGATGAAAGCTAGTGACCAATGAAGAATGATTTCAGTGGTCTTGGTAGTGACCTGGACACAAAACTGCCAAGAGCTAAGCAAGGAGGAAATATGAGGTGCGGAAAGATAGAAGGAATTTAAGGCCAGTTGAATATATCCTTTTTATGCATGCTTGACTTTAATCAGAGATCTAATGTGACTCGTCCTACAACTCTAAGTAAAATTAAGTCTAGATAAATGTGATTGTAAGATCAGAACTTGATGTAATAAAAACCATTTTGCGTCAACAATTTCACCATATAGAGTTTTCCAAGGAGAAGATATGTTTAAAAACTATTGCTGTTTTTTAAAGCAAGATACAGAGTTCAAAGCATAACATCCTAGAAACCGTTTTAATGATGAATGAGCTCAAAGAGATCATTTCTAACTGGGCTGATCATCAAGTCCTTGAAATTGCATTTGTCATTTTCACAGTGCAGACCTATATGTAATTTTTGTTGTTTATGGTCATCTTCCATGATAAAAATCCCAATTTCCATGATAAAAACTACACCAAAGGCGACAGATTCACACTAACTTCAAATGCTGGATTAATAGCACTCTGAATAAGTAAATCAAGTAAACCGTATTGGAGAGAGAGCAATGAGCTGCAGCCCTTCAGGGTTCTTGACTTCACCCCGAATTCAATCCAGATTGCAATTGGATTTGCATGTGTCTTCAGTCCTGTGTGTGGTCCCATTATGAACAGTGAATGAGGAATACTGGCACAGTGGAATAGAGTCAAGAAAATATATTTCATTACTGCTTTGCAAGTTGGAAGATGTGATACAAGAATCGAAGTTTAAATTAATTCCAGCATGGAAAAAAAAAAAATAGGCTCTTTCCCCTTTTTCCATTCATAGTCCACTGCAGGCCTCAATGATGTTGTAATTTTGTTCCACAGAACACTCCAGAGACAAGTTTTCACGTCTTCTTCCTGCTTTGGCCCAGCGCTCTGATCCTGGCTCACAGAAAAGAGCCCAGTAGAGAAGATTCTGCAAATTCTTGGAAGGCAAAAAAGCTGATGTTAACAGGACATGAGTATTAGGGGAGACTCCCCATTTGGCTTTGCTTTTCATTATTGCTCCATTGATTTAATCTTTTGTTTTTATGTAAAAGGAAGCAAATGAACTGGATTACACAAGCAGTGTATGCTTCTCTGGCCAGATGGTTTGCAGCTCCTTTATGTGTACATTCTATGTATAGTCCATTTTAGCTCTTTAGTCTGATGGTTTGTTGTTCCTTTTCTTTAATTGTGTAAAAAGCTGTCGTAGCTGAATATTGAACCTCAAGCAAGATGCTGTTGGATCTCCAGTTCCACGGACAGATTACCCAGTCCAGGAATTCCCTGCCATGGAAAGGGGACCTTATTTGTTGCCCTTTCTCCTGACTTTAGCATCTGTTCCAGCTCTTCCTGCCTTGTGGTGGTGCTCATTAAGTCCTTTGATCCTTACGTGAGAAAAATAAGTGTGCAGCGTGGTTGGTTTTCCAAAAAAGAGTGTTGAATCAACCCTTGGAGAGGTCCTATGGTCCCTGGTGCTGGTACAAGGCAACCAGCAGGAGAGGGCAAATGAGGGGAGATGTCAGCAGAGGAGGGGAACAGGCAGCTCATCAGACCACTGTCTTCATCCCAGTTAACCTTAAGATTTAGGTAGGATCTGGGTCTACTTAGTTATTAGCCCAGAGATTTTTCTTTGTATCTCAGCCATGTTCTTTACTACTGTCTTTTGGTGCAATTTGGACACTGAAACACGTGGTTCTGTTTCTTTCTTTCTTTCTTTCTTTTAATAGCACAGAAGGCTGCTTGAGGTGTGGGCAGTGAGAAGCAGCCAAAGGCCAAAGTCTTTTGAAGAATAAAAAAATTAACATGTCAGGGAAGAAATAGATCAGCTAATTCCTTGCTTCTTCCTTCTCATTGTTACTGACTGTCTACACACACACCTCTTGAAGCAGTTATTCTGGTTACACATAGATCTATGGATTTTATAGCCAGTTTGATTGCTCAGACTCACTGGCTACTGCTGAGAGCAGCACAATGATCAGTGATAATCAAAAG